ATCAATATGGATTTCATCTAAGGGTTACCTCGTACTCACAACATTACTCAATTTGGGTGATAATTGATAGGATGACTAAGTCTTTTCGCTTTTTTAGCGGTCAAGACTACAGATTCGGCAGAGGACTATGCCAAGCTTTACATTAATGAAATTTTGAGATTACATGAGGTTACTTTGTCTATTATATCAGATAGAGGTCCTCAGTTTACCTCTCAATCTTGGAAGTCATTTCAAAAGGGTCTTGGTACTCCAGTTAACTTTAGCACAAAATTTCACCCATAGACGGTTGGGCAGGCAGAGTGTACCATTCAGACCCTATAGGATATATTGAGGGCTTGTGTAATTGATTTCAAGGGTATTTGGGATTTTCACCTTCCTCTTATTGAGTTCACTTATAACAATAGTTATCATTCCAGCATTCAGATGGCCCCTTATGAAAATTTGTATGGGCTTAGGTGTAGATCTCCTATTGGTTGGTTTGAAGTAGGTGAAGCAGCTTTGCTAGGGGTAGATTCATTCTTTTATGCTATGGAGAAAGTGCAACACATTAGAGATGGAATTAACATAGCCTTGAGTCGTCAGAAATCTTAGACAGATGTAAGGAGAAGGGAACTAGAGTTCCAAGTTGATGATTGGTTTTTCCTTAAAGTGTTACCTATGAAAGGAGTGATGAGATTTAACAAGAAACGGAAACTAAGTCCTAGATATGTAGGCCCTTACAAGATCTTGAAAAGGGTTAGCAAGGTGGCATATCAACTAGAGTTGCCCACAGAATTAGCAGTAGTACATCCGATCTTCAACATCTCACTGTTGAAGAAGTGTGTGGGTGAACCAGCCTCTATAGTGCCATTATAGAGTATGGCGGTGAAATATATTCTTTCTTATGAGGATGTACCAGTTGAGATTCCTGACCTTCAGGTTAGAAGGTTACGAAATAAATAAGTCGCTTCAGTCAAGTTTTTTTGTGGGGGAGTCAGTCCATAGATGGAGCTACTTGGGAAGCAGAAGAAGCCATGAAATCCAAGTATCCTCACCTCTTTCCTTCCAATTCCAATCATACTTGAGGTAATAGTTCCTCTTAAGCTTTTCAATCATTCATACATAAATTCAGCCTAGTATCATGTTCCCTCAGTTTGTACTTGCTTTTTTAGTGTATTTGCATGTTCTTGGTACTCAATTAAGTTAAAAACTCATTTCTCAGTGTTTAGTAGTAGGGATTGCAGCCCTCTCCTTCTATTTCAGATAGTTTAGTCTTCGTTTGAGGACGAATGTTCCCAAGGAGGAGATAATGTAACACCCCATATCCAAAAGAGACAAAAAATTAGATTTTCAAATATCTGCAGGTGCAATCGACGGACCGTAGCCTAACCCACGACCCATGCTACACATCCGTCTATTGTCACTGAAACTCCACAAAGACGCACGACCCATGCTACACATACCTATATTCCGTAGGTTAGACTACGGTCCGTTTGTATTCATCGATCAAGACACTATTTACCCACTCTCTGAGAAGAACCATGATTGACCAGTATGGTCCGTGGAAGGACCTACGGACTGTAGGTGGAAATTAGAAGACAGTAAGGGAGAAAATGTAGTTGGATCAACTTAAAATGATCATAACTCGTTGCACAACATAAATTAGGTGTCCCATGACCTATGAAATGATAGATAATTGAATTAGATTTCCATAACCACCAGTTTGCCAAAATCAGACCTCCGATTAAAAAAATATGTCTGTTTTATTAAAGGCCTGTCGAACAGATCCAACCTACGGACCCAAACAATGGATAGTCGATTGAACGACGACCCATCAGTCCAGGTCGTCGTTTGGTCCGACAACAACTAACTCAAGGGTCTTATGGTATTTTCCCACTTCGTTTAAACCTTAATAACAAACTTAATGTGTTCTTTGCTTTTGTTGTGAGCTATTTTTAAAACTCTGCAAACACCATGACACCGATCCATGTCCTTTGAGAATCTTCATCTTTGTTTGATTATTCTGATCCCTACGCTTTTAAGCTTATTCAAAGGTAGTAGTCTCTTTATTGTTGACCATCTGTGCCAATGTTGCATTAACATATTTGGCGTTTGAGCATTTCATTCATGCCATCCTTTTTAGTTAAGGTTTTAGAGATTCTTAGAGCCTCCCTTGCAAGGATTCTAGAGTTTCATGTACTCTAGTTTTCCATGGACTCTTATTTTCACATTTTGAAGATATCTTCTCTGTATGTGAATTGGTACTTTATCAACTACCACATAAGTTGTTATGGAGGTCATAACATAGATTAGTTGTCATTGTAAAAACATGAGATAGCTGCTTGTGAGAAACTATCTGAACGTAGATTGCATTTGCAAAGAAGAGGAGGATCTTATTACTTTAACACTATAACAAAGAAGAGGAGATTGCAAGAAACTAGTCGGTTATGAAAATGACTAGTGCTGAGAAAAAGTTCATCAACACGAGAGAGTACAAAGGCAGTCAAGTAGTGGTGACCGCAAATAATTCAAAAAGGACAATAACCCATATTAGCAAAATGATGTTCGTGTCACATCAGAGCTCGGCACAAGTGGAACTTCAAAAATCTACCATTTTCTATGGATAAAAAGAACTTACTTTTGTGTCATAAAACTTATTATAAGTGTCACACTTAATAGCTTCAGGAAACTCTGTTGTGTTCAGATAGGATGGCTTAAAGGTATATCAAAGCTTAAAAGTAACAAGCTTGCTGAAAATATGTGAGAAACTATCGGTAACATAGATAACATGTCACTCAAACAACTTGAGATAGTTGCTTGTGTTCAGAAAGTTGCTTGTGTTGAGATTCTCAGCACTATTGAGAGTGTTAGGAAAATCCACCATTGATTAGTGCCTTGTGAATTTGTTGCCTCCAATAGTAGCTTGTAGGATCTTCTTTCCTTTGAGTTTCTACCTTTCTTTATCAACCAGACTCTCTTGAATCACTTGTTGTACATTTTTGGTTTTAAGGACACAATCGATTTCTCACAAATTATATTTTATTATTGTAAAGTAAAGATTCATTTCGATCCTACAATTGTTAAACACAACATTTCTTGCATTACACTCTATCAACTCTCTCATATTTTTCAGTCACTTGTTGTTTGCTATCTTGCTTACATGCTTTGAGAACTTACTTCTTACTTGGTTACCAATAAATGTGGATCATCTCTATTTATAGGAGGTGATGAAAGTGTTGTTCATCTTGTATTTCAAACATGGTTATAACAAAACTTTGAACATCTTTGTAAGACAACAAAGTTTAATAACATTTTCACAACTAGAAAATTAAAACTAGTAGCGAAACTAGAGTCAGAAACAGATTTTTAAAAAAATATACTAAATTATTTTTCAAAAAGAAGAATTGTTGTTAATATGTGTCTAAAGAATCTTACTGATTCCAATTAACTTTGCAGAAACACGAACTTACCAAGTTTAATGAACCAGTGAAGAACGAAAGAATAGAAGAACTGAAATTAATTCATAAATCTAAAATTTGAAAAAGTCACCTTTCATAAAAGTCACAACTTTCAATAAAAGTCACAACATTTGATAAAAGTTACAACTTTTCATAAAAGTCGCAACTTTTCATAAAAGTCACAACTTTTCATAAAGGTCGCAAAATTTTATAAAAGTCACAACTCTTCATAAAAATCGCAACTCTTCATTTTCCATTCACACCTTTTTAAAATCAAACAGGAAGAATCTAGATAGAGATCTCTTCTAGAATTTTACTAAATAACATTGTACTAGAACTACCTTTTCTAGAATATTTCTAGACTTCTCTCTCCAGAATACTCATTCTGGAGATCTTTCTTCAATTCTCTACAACTGCGGAATATTTTACATTTTTTTGGACTTGTCATAAATAAATAATTAGGTTGGTGAGAAATCAACCCACTAATACAGAAAAGGAAATTGAATCCTTTCACAGAAGCCCCTTATATTTTTATCTAGATAGTATTGTGGGGTAAAAAAGGGAAATTGCTCATGAATATCGTGAAGAGAGAACTAAAGGTAACTTCAATACGCAACTTAAGAAAACTTCCAAATCTAATGAATTTGAAAATAGAAAATGCAAATATGAAATGAGGGATATGCATTGTTTAGTTAATCATCATATATCATATCATATATCTATATAAAATAAAACCTTAGGATCGTCTACGTGACGCCAACACAAACAAGAATTTTCTTTTTACTTATTAATTTCCAAAACTAGCCTTCGTCTTTCATTAAAAGTTGTGAGATTTATGAAATTTTTTGACTTTTATGAAAAGTTGCTATTTTTATGAAAAGTTGTGACTTCTACGAAAAGGTGCGAATTTAAAGAATAGTTGAGACTTTTATGTAAAGTGGTGATTTTTATGAAAGTTTGTCACCTTACAGTAGGGTTGCAACTTTTCCAAATAGTTGTAACATTTCCGATAAGACACAATAAATATTTGTTCAAACTACCCTTTGTTGTCAATAAATAAAGGGATTTCCTCTCATTTTAGAACAACGAAAATTCTGAATTTGTGTACTTTGCTTATGTTGAGTGGCTCAGAGACACCATTTTTCTTATTATTACAAATTCTAGCACTTTTTTTTTACAGACATTAATTTGTGCTTATGTTATTAAGAATAAATGATAAGATGTCATAATTTTTATTTTCCTTTACATTATTAATGATTGTTACTGCATAATCTTGTATGTAAGATAATATAGTGTTTTATTTTTAATGACCCGTAGATTTTAAAAATTCTGTAATATTTTCGGGAAGAAGCGGGGGTAATTTTACTAGTACTAGCACATGATTCAATTTTGCTGCCCAGACTATATAAAAATGTCAATGGGTGTGTTGTATTTATCAAAACTAATGTAACCTTGGAGAATACGACACATTTTGAACGTCAAAAGTGAAAAAATTGAACAACATAGCATATAATTACTTAAAACGTAAAGTAGATTTCAATTAATTAAGTACATGTTGTTTAAGTTGAGTAGCTTTTCCTGAAAGAAGAGGAGCACTTGAACTTCTTGTCTGGTTTTCGTTATCTAATTATGTCAATTATAATTGTAATTTTCATTGTAGTTTGTTCAAAAAAAAGTTCATATAACAACTACAATTACATGCGCCTCGGTCCCAAACAAGTTAGGATCGTGACTAATCCATAAAGTATATTTCAATTGTACCTGTTGATTATGTTGAGTAGCTTTGCCCTAAAAGAAGAGGAATGGTTAAACTTCCTGGATGTTGACCAACAACATTACTAACTCTAGATGGATCTAGAAAATTATAAACATTAGCATTATTTTGAAAACTTCCTCTTCTTCCTCTTCCTCTTCCTCTTCCTCTCCCTCACCTACCTTCGTCTCCTTTGAGTACGACTACTTGACATGTTGTGTTGATTCAAAACTTGATCATCATCAACAAGTAGTGTAGTATTTACAATGGAAGATATTTATTTAAGCTTTCTCCTTGAACTTGATAACATTCCTCCTCTTGTTGTCGCTGTTACAAGTTCAAGGGGAAAGCAGAAATCAATTTCATCCATCAAAAGTGCTACACTACTTATTGATAATTATCAAGTTTTGAATCAACACAACATCTCAAGTAGTAATACTCAAAGGGGATGAGGTAGGTGAGGGAGAGAAAGAGGAACAGGAACAGGAACAGGAAGAAGACGATGGTCGTAAAATAATGCTATTGTGGATCATTTTCAAGATTCATCTAGATTTAGACATGTTGTAGATCTGAATTAGGGAGATACACATCCAGGCCATTCTCTTCTTTAAGAAAAATCTACTAAACATATACCAACGGGTACAATAGAAATCTACTTTATGTTTTAGTCATGATCCTAACTTTCTTTGGACTGAGGCACATGTGTTAATAGATGTTATATGGATTTTATTTTTTAGACAAAACTATAATGAAAAACTCAATTATAATATAAGACAAAGAAAGATAAGCAGGAAGTTCAAGTGCTCCTCTTCATTCAGGAAAAGCTACTTAACTAAAACATCTACTTAATAAGTTGAAAGTCACTTTATGTATTAAGTAATCATATGCTAAGTTGTAAAAATATTTCCCTTTTGAGGTTGCACATATGTCTTATTCTATAAATTACACTACTTTTTGAGAACAACACACACATCCATTGATATTTTTAAAGAGTCCAAGCAGCATAATAATGTCATATGCTACTATTGGCAAATTATTTCTTCTGTAGTCCTTCAACTTCGAATGTTCAAAATCGTCTGCGACTGAGAAATGTAACTTCTTGTACATGCATACTCTTCTAATTAAACGTATTTTCTAATGATATCTCAAAGGAAAATTCTTTTTACATGGTTGGAATCCGAGCTAAATGTAGGTTGAATTTTGTTAGTTAACCTGAAATAATTATTTTTATCTTGAACTATATGTTTATGTAAATCACACTGATTCTCAATTTGTTGAAACTTGGAACTTGGCATGGTAAACAATAAATTCTAAATATTTTGTTGACTGTTGGACCCCCAAGATCCATGGGGCGAATCTATACTTGTCCTAAGAGAGTCATTGACAACTCTTAGATAAAAATGCAGACTCACTTCACATAGAGGACGACTAGACTTTCTATGTGATCATATATAAATATATATATATATATATATATATATATATATAGACATCATTCTAACCACAATTGACAAGGCATAATGTGGACTCCCTTCACATAGAGGACGACTAGACTCTTCTATGTGATCATACAAGCGTCTTCCTTCTTTATTAGGAGTTTCATCAAAATATTGTTCGGTTTTCATCCCACCTTGAACCTTGAAATCACCATTGATCATTTCATGAACCCTATTATGTTCATATTCCCTCACATATAAGATGACGAGACTCTTCTATGTGATCATATAAGTGTCTTCCTTCTTCATTAGGAGCTACATCAAAATATTATTCGAGTTCCAGCCCACCTTGAACTTTTAAAGAACCATTGATCATTTCATCAATCCTATCATGTTCAATCCTATCAATGTTCAACCATATTATAATGTTCAACTCTATTATCATGTTTCACCCTAATTTGGCCATATGGTGCAAATTTACTATGTTCATCAAGTTCACATTCCTAATTAAGTTTAACTTATAACAAATCTAAATTATAATAAATTATAAGTTCTAATTAAGTTAGTTATTCAATTTAAAAATTCTTTAACTTGAAAATCACTTCATCAATTCCCAACTAAATAATATTTGCACAATTCACTTACACTCAAAAGTCAAAATACTTGATCAATTACTAATAGAAAAGATAAAAGATAGTCATGGTAAATATATTCATCACATTCCAACATCTATTTTGTACTCAAAACACTTCAATTACTAACTTCTAACTTTAAATTAAAAATTCAATATCAACTCAAGCAATACCCTAATTCAAAGTAGTCCTAAATCCTCAAATTCAGACTAGTTCACAATAATTATAAGATCACTCAAAGATAGTCAATACATATAGTTGAATTAATACTACAAGTGAAACAACAAATGGAGAACTCACACATGCATATAATTAAGTCATAAGATTGATTTTAAATGAGTTACTACTTGGAAATACTAATTTAATCATAAGAATGATTTTAAATGAATTAGTACCTAATAATTGAATTTAAATGTAACAAAATAGACGAACCATATCGAAAAAATGAAGGCAGTGCTTACTATGTAGCAATGACAATGGAAGATTAATATCAATAAATATACAATTACCGTGAGCTCAGATCCTGAGGATTTTGAATCACTTGCCTCATGAAAAGCTCCTTCAACTATGATTTTCATTTGTCCATCTATTTAAACGACAACCTAAATTGAAATTTCAATAAGAAATTTGAAGATATTGTCACATGTATTTTCGATATAAAAATTAATTGGTATACCTACAAGAATAAATATTATTTGTATCAAGTCTTGAACATATCATCAAAGACATAAATAAATTTAATTTATGCAACTATTAATTCAAAGTTATCTGATACAAAATCAAATATATTTAATGCAAGAGGAATGATATTATTAACATACACTAATATATACACTTCATTTTAGTGAGTTAAGTTTGGAAGTATTTAATGGAATAAATTTAGAACCCTAATTCTCAATTAGTTCTTTCATCAACCCACCCTTAAATCAACAAGTGTTAAAATCGAATATATTCTTGAACAAGCTCAATGAACCAACCATATAACATATAACAATTCATATGAAGTTATTTAAGATTTTCTATGTGAATTCAATTGAATTGGAAAGGTATAAAAGTTGAAGCTTAAAAAATCCGAAATTCACTAAACATCATGATAATGCAATCAATCTTGACAAATTCATATCATATTTAAATAGAAGTTATTCAAAACAACTCAAAAGCCAAATTATGATTTTTTACGGCACCGATGATTTTCATACATATAGTAAATTACCCATTTTAATTATAATCATAGTAAAACTACAAGTAAAACAAAACAAAAGAAGTACCGAAAATAAAAGATAATAAACAGCAATCGGAAAAAGAAAAATGCAAAATTTATAAATGACATCACATAAAGTGTTTCCTTTAAAGAGAAATCATAAATATAATCAATTGTAAAAAAACCAATAAAAATGAAAATTAAGATTAAACATCTAACATGGAAAAAAGTAAGAAATAAAGAGAAAAGATATACCTTCCACCTGAATTGAGATCTCAGATTAAATGAGGAACAAACTCGATCCAAGATTAAAGCAACATTGTTAATGACCCAGATAAGGAGGCAAAGATGTTGAATCATCCAAGGCGAGAGCATTTCAGTTTATTAGGTGAAAGGAAAGGGGATCAAAATGGTGTGGCAAATGAGCAAACCCTAATCGTAAGGGACATGAATATATGGAGAATGTTGAGGGCTTCTCGGGGATGGGTTGGCCGTTTAATTTGGGCTTTTTTAATTGAACTTGGGTAAAAGGCCCAAATTAGCGAAGTGTAAATTTTGTAATTTATTAAAAAGAAAATACATTCACCCAAAAAATAAAGGAAAGTTTTTAAAACAATAATATTTTGGCTTTTAGTCGGACTCCTTAGCAATAGTTTCATTATTTATTAAAAATGTCATTATTCTTGTTTGCCATGGTATTAGTTATGAATTTATTTATTTTAATTAATTTGAAACAATATAAATAATTAATAAAAGAAAAGAGAAAATTATGGGGAAAAAATTTCATTAAATGTAAAAAAGATACCAAATATAAATCTGATACAAATTTCAAAAGAGCAAATTTGTCATCTTTCTGGCTTCCATTTTTTCTTCCCTTCTTTTTTATGATTTATCCAAATTTAATATGGAATTATCAGTAAAATTTCTTTGTCTACAACCTTAATTTACATCCATTACACTTCTCAAAATTAGGAATTGATCTTAACTTAGGAATTTTCTAAGTGTTACACATGCATGTTTTGATTAAGGATATGTATCTTTAGAAAATATTATATGTTGAGAATAAAAAGGAAAAGATTCTCTTCATTCAATTAGATTTTGTATACAAAGTAATTTAGAATACCCTTTTTAATATATAATAAATTCCCAATTTACTCCCATAACTAATCAACTCAACAAAATATTTATTAAAATAATGTGATACACTTTAAAGTATTTTCCAAAAAGACATGATTATTGGTTACACCATAGATTTGCATGGAAAATAAAAGATCTATGTGAATCAACCCGGATCAACTAAACAAGCTTCACCTCCAACTATTGCTCCTCATTCTGCCCTTCCTCAGCACCATTGGGTTACGCCATAGATTATTGGTTACGCCATAGATTTGCATGGAAAAGAAAAGATATAGTCAATTTTTTTATAATAAGGAAACCACAAACATATACTAATAAAGAGACATGTTATTTTTTATCCTTATTATCATCCATATATTTACTACAGATAGTAAAAGGAGTAGAACACTAGAATGTTTTCTATCATACAAACATTCTTAAAAAGATATATTAAAATCAATGAAAACCCTTTGAGTGGCGATATTCTGAAAATTTGTTGCAACCAATTTTGTCACCACTAAAGGTCCAGTCCTACTTGCCCATATTATTTAGGTGGAGGGATTAGTCTCATGTGGCTAGTCACATCACTAGAAATATGGGTTGTTTAACTCTTGAGGGTAATAGTAGTCTCTTCGGATATATAACAGTGGGGGCATCGTTTATCCCTATATGCAATGGACGGAATAAATGGTCTATCTCACATAATTTACTGGCAATTTTAACCCTTTTTCTTACATTTTATTAATGAACGACTTCTAAAAATGTAAAACATTGATAATATCTTATTCTAATGTCTAAAAAAGGTAAATGATCAAATATTCACTTATTTTAGTTGACTTCTAGAAGTCATTCAAAAAGAGAATAATAGAAAGTAACATTTAGTTTTTTTCCTTAAAATATTTTTCAAGAAGTCATTCAAAAGAATAATAAAAGAATGTGGCATTTAATTTTTTCCTTCAATATTTTTCAAGAAGTCATCCAACTTTCACTAGTCAATATCTACGGTCATTTTGGCTTGAAATAAAATTTCTAAAATCTTGGAGTCCACTATATATGAAGGTTCTATCGACCATAACCATCAAAACTATCAAACCCTTTTGTTCAAAGGAAATGACAGTCATATACATCAAAAGTTGATTTTGTAAAGGAAATAGAATTTCTCATCATGTCACGAGAATTATGGATCCTCCATGGGTGATAATGATTGAAATGATTGCCAATCAAGCCCATTTTTCGATGTAGATCTGTTGTAATCTTATGTATAGACTTTAAAGTTCTGACCCTTTGTTTTTTAACATGCATCAAGTAAGATCCCTTAATTACCCCAGCATTATGTTTTTGGATGGTCAGTGCAATCCTTTGCTTCTATAACTCAAAGTAGAGTATGATTATTATGTTCACCGATGTAACAAAACGATTCAGGGTACCCCTAAGTTTCACTTCCATCCATGGAGTATGATTTTAGTTGGTTCTTATAATGGATTTATCTTTTTTGTGGGTGTTTGACACACATTGAGAGTCAATCGATTTACATTAACAATCCTCTTTTGGGTGAGTACTTCAAATTTGAAATGCCCTAATGGGAGATAAGTATTAGTCAAGTTACTTATGGGTTTTGCTTTAGCGATGTCTCTGGAGAGTATAAAGTATTGAGATTAGTTGATAGAAAGGTTCAGGATGATCCTAGAGCATCAGAATCAGAGGTTTATACTATTGGAGCTTACGAGAAATGGAGAAATGTGGGTTAAATTCTGTGTCATGTATGGTATGAATTTGGCAAGGCTAATGCCAATGCTGCTCTTCATTGGATGGATAGGAAAAAAACTGACAACATTTACTCCTCTGATGTTGAAACAGAAAAGATCAAGTCCCTGCTTTCTCCTTGGAAACTCCATCTTCGAACTTGAGGCTAGTAGAGTTGGGGAAGTGTCTGTGTTTGACTGATAATATCCACAGATTGAATGTTAATATTAATATATGTTTAATGAAAGAGTATGTCATTGCAAAATCTTGGACTAAAAATAGCATTTTAGTGGAATCTATTCCATATAGTACAGTTAACTGTAGTTTTGAACCGATATTTATTTGGAAGGATGGAGAAATCTTGTTTCAAAGTCACTCAAAACAAGCTTGGTACAACCCAGAAATGAAGAAGTTCAGGGTGGTTAATATTGATGGTGATGTCATTACATCAACTAAATACATTCTAAGCTTTTATTCGCTTAAGACCATCATGGGGGATGACTTTCAAGCCACAAATGCTTACCAAAAAATGAGATAGTTTAGAGTAGTTGTTTTATCTTATTTCCTTTGGAATATGATATTTTGTTGTTGTACTTGTGACATAAATTTTACTATTTTGTGGATGCTTTAGAATTCTTGATAGAGAAATATTAATAAGTTATTACTATTCAGTATAATGAATATTTGATGAAATTAATGGTTTTCTTGAAACAGATGATGTAAGTTTTTTTTATGTTGCTAATACTAAGGTAACTAGTATGCATACCCGAGCGATGTGCAAATAATATTTAAATTTATCATTTCACATTGTGGTCAGAGAACACTCAATTATATTGCATGAACTAAAATGTATCTGCCATCTTATTTCTAATTACAATTTAAATACCCTGTAACACTTATGAATGAATGTGGTCAGGCAAATGAAGCATTTATTGAACCCGAGCTCCATTAAAAAAATTACTCTTTTCAATTCTCTATAATTGGTAATTAGAACTCTTTATTTATTTTCTAAGTAAGTTTATATTTGCATAAATAATTTTATACATCGTTAATGTGTAGAACTTAAACTCTTTTTCCTATTAGTTTCTAGTGAACGGACACAACTACGACATTTATGTTATAAAGGTTATGGGGAAATTTATATATCATCCCTCAAAGAATTAACCTTTAAATATGAACAGTTTAACAAATAAGGAAAAGAAATCCAAAATAATCTCCCAAATTCATGCAAATTTGATGTAATATTATATACAAAGACACTACATATTATGTAACACTCTCCTCAAATTGAACATAGATGTATTATATCCAGCTTATATAAAGATATTTTGCTCATGCTTCATTTTCGACTTTCATAAATATACACCAAGTTACTCTCGTGATTTAATCTTCATCGGATGAACCCCTGACATACTGCTAACTCCCCCCCCCCCCCCGGGTTAGACCTTACATAGAAAACCAAACATATAGAAGTTTACAATCATTTTGTTCGAAATAAGCTCCAAGATGATCTTATTTTCCTTCATCATGTTTTTACCACGAATCAACTGGCTGTCCTACTCACCAAAGCTCTCAGTGTTGTAAAACAAACTTACGTCATGTTTGGTTATGAATGCTTCATATCCCACTTGAGAAAGGGGGTGTATTTACAATGTATTTATGCATATAGTTATTTACCTTAGTCATATGTTGTTGATTAGCTGAACTGTTAGCTTAGTCAGTTAGTTGTAGTTGTTAACTCAATTAGTTATTAGCTTTTTAGAAGCCAAATGTTTATAGTTATACAAATATTTACAAATCTACGAATATGTTTTCCCATGAGAGATTTTATTCAACAAAAAAGGTAAATATTTGTTTGCATTCTAGGAAAGGTAGTTCTCACCCTTGAAAGGAGATGTCTTTATTAGGAACATATTAATTACCCCCACCAATAATTAATTATTTTTGTCCTGTGCAACCTCACATGGTGAAAAATTAAATTGCATAAATAATACCATGTATTACTTTGTCTTTTTTTCTTTTAAGTTCAACTAGTAGATACCCAAAGCCCACTAATTAATATTTGCATCTGTTACGCCTACTAAAGATCTATATCCCTATATATCTTAAAAATTATTTAAAAAATAAAATTACAAGTGTTTCTTGCATTGTTTTGCAAATTCTCTTAAGTGGCATATCTTGCCTCTATACGTCGATTGGATATTCGTGGAACAATAGACACATAAATGTTGTCATCAAAGACAAAATATGTTTTTAGTTTGGTGTTCAAGTTGTCAAATTGGTTCAGTGGACTTGAATCTGCTAAATCAAGTATTAGTTTTGGTAATTATGAGAGTGAAATTGATATTAAAAATCAGGTCATCAATGTGCACCTTGTAGGATTGCAAGGAAGTGGGCATATCCCAAAAGTTAGAGAAGATGGATGGATTGAAGTAAAATTGGGATATTTAATAGCACGAAAGTCATTGACGGTCCTGTTGAAGCAAGATTGATTAAGATGAAATGTATTTACAAAGGTGGACTAATTGTTGAAGGAATTGAGCTTCATTCCAAATAGATTGAATACAAGTTACGAGAGGCGGATATTGGATTTTATGTTTTACAGATTTTGAACTAGAACTCTTTTATGGGGGGGAGATAGAGAAATATTTTATGGTTTTTAACATATCATTTGGATGTTATGCTTGAAAGT